TAGGATGTTGGCAATCTGCAGGGAGACGACTAAAGCGTCGTGATGAGGAACGGCCAAGGTGATCGGTTCGTCATCTTTAAACTGAATTACCTGATGAGAGTGTGATCGCGAGACCTGATGGATGGACTATACTTCATGGTGGTGGCTGGCTCTAGCATATCGCTTGGCTGATGAGTAACTTACTCCACTGATCTCTGATCCTCCAGAAATAAATGAGCAAACAGAAACCTTTCGGTGTGGGTTCCCGTAGAGGGGGTGACGGTTCTTTGGAGCTTTTCTGGCTAATTATGTGCTTCCCCTTGTCAGTAAGCAGATCACGGAGATGTCCCCTTTTCAGAAGTGCGGCAACCTCGAGCCGCAAGGCAATACAGTCTCCGGTGTTATGCCCATGGTCGCTGTGGAACTTGCACCACTTGGTTGTGTCTCTCCTTGCCTCGGGATTGAGCTTGCCAGGCCACTTAACGGTGGATCCCAGTCCTTTCATTATTGCTATGACCTGGGTTGGCTCGACATTGAGGTTGTACCCTGGTATCTTGTGTTGGTTCGATCCGAACTGCCTGTTATTATTTCTCGCGTGTTGGCGATCATAAGGCTTCCTAACTCTGCCCATATTGCGTGTTGGAGGTTGGTAGCGGTGCTCTACCGGTCTAGACTCTGGCTTCTTGTCACTCCGCCTTGATTCGTATCTTGAATGGGTAGCTCGGTTCATCTCATCTTCCTCCAATCTTATCTGGATAACCGCCCGGGCCAGAGCATCTTCCATTGTGGTGCAACCCAGCTTCGTAAGTTCTTTGTACAGTTCTCCGTCTGGGAGGAGGCCCTTCCTAAAAGCGTCCACAGCAGTCTCAGGGTTACAGGAGGGGATAAAGATCTTTTCTCTATTGAATCTGTTGACATATTCTCTCAATGGCTCTCCCCTTCTCTGGTATATTTGGTATAGGTCGGCCGATAGTTTCTCTAGTTTCTTGCTGCTGGCGAATTGCTCCACGAAGGTGTCAGTAAGCTGGGCGAATGAGTCGATGGATCCGTTTGGGAGGTTCGTGTACCATTGGAGTGCCGGTCCAGATAGACTAGAACCGAAACTCTTACACATGCAGGCTTCCCTAAGCGGTCAAGGTATTGAGACTGTAAACATCCGCTACTTGTACGAGGCTATGTGGCCATCCGGGTCGGTGGTACCATCGTACGGTTTCATGTTGGGGATGGTGAATTTCTATGGCATGTCGGCCAGGGCGATCTCATCCACAAAGGGTGAATCAGTGTAACTGTGGGCTCTGCTCTTCTTGGTTGAGACCGGCATACCTGGAATGCGTCTCATCACTGCCTCGACGTCGGCCAGTCTTTTGGCCAATACTTGTTCCATAAGGGAGGGGGATACTACCGGGTCATTCTGTCTTACTAGGTTTGCTGCTGCATTTGTTCTCAGCACATCCCGTTGGGTCATCCCTTGGGGGGTAGTCTGATAGATCGTTCTGTCATGCATTCCTTGATAGCATGGATCTTCGTTCATCCCTTCCGGTTGGATGACTCCCATTGTCACTGTTCTGTTGTTCCGCCCCACATGAATGGTCAGTGGAGTCGACTGGTAGTCGCTCGGTCGGTTAGGGTGGATGAGCTCGAGTGCTGGAGTTGGTTTGGTTTGGCCGTTCAACCCGTGAGGGTGAGCCGAGCCGAGTGGGGTTTGTGTTTGGGTTGTGGACTGGAGATGGAGCGGGATGGGGATAGTGGGCTGGTCTTGTGGATGTGGGCTTTCTGTTATTGGATTATCTTGGTTACGAGGTTGGGATGAGTCGGCTGGATGGTGTTCTGCTGGCATATCTTTGTCTCCATTAGTCAAAACAGAGTCGTCCAGTGCCAACACACTTAACGGACGCGGCTCTTTACCGAAGATCGAGGGCTGATGCTCTGGTGTGGAGAGTGGTTGCATGGATGGGATAGGGGCGCGGAACCGATTGGGAGGTACTTGGTTGGGTAAGAACTCGAGATCATAGAATTAACCCACCTTCTCTTTTAGAGACTAGTTTTCAGCTCTAATGGACGCGCTTTTGGTCCGGATTGCATTATTCTTGGCTTCCAGTGCGGCCACCTTGTCTGAATTTTATTGCATGAGAGAGGTCAAGACCTCCAGTTTGGCCTCGAGGCCGGGGTAAACGTTGTCGGGATTGTCAGTCATGGAATGTTCCTCCACGTAGCAAGGTTCGTCGAGTCGAATGATCGCTAGAGACCCCACGGTGGGCGCCAAACTGTAGACGTAAAAATCTACCTGTACGGAAAGAGGGGTCTGATCCCGCGAGGTTGAGGCCACTAGCGATCCGCTGCACCTGCATACGTAGGAAACACACGCGTGAAGCGAACGGGAAACACCGGGGTGGTGTTTGCCGTAAGCACTCCGACGCTCAAGTCAGCAAGGTTGAAAGGCTAATATAGTGAGGGCTAGGGAGTAAAAGGTTACCGAAAGTCTAGTCGGGGACTGTGACTACGACGGTGATGTGAAGCTCTCAAGTCAGAGCTTTCAGTGTGAAGGTTGAATGTCTCCCCCTCGTGAGAGGGCTGGCCTCTGTTTATATAGTGACTGTCTGGTCTCCCAATCCTGGTGGGAGTAGGAGTCCTACTATGACTCTGATGCAAACCGTAGAAGAATTAGGGGCCGTGGTAAGACGTCGTACCAGTGTCTGGATAGGAAAGTGACTTTGAGTAGGAAAGTGTTCTGAACAGGAAAATGACTTTGAGTAGGAGATTGATCAGGAACAGGAATATAATCAGTGGGCCGTGGGCTCGAAACTCGCCTATAGGCCTAGGAAGTGAACTGGAACTGGGGGGCTCGTGCCCAGATGGTTTGAGTAGGTCGTATCTCGTATCGAATGGGACTAATCTGGCTTAGGCCTCTTTGGGATTCAGGCCTGGTCTTCTCTTCACAAATGGTTCTGCTTTCCTATTTAGGCCGAGGACGATTTTTGGCCCAAACATTTGGTTAGGGGGACTAAATTAGTGCGTATGTTATTTAAATTACTAAATTGCCCTCTTTTTAAATATTAATATAATATTATTTAATTTTTAAATAATTTTTTTAACCCCCAATATTTCAGATTTAGCTAAAACACCCTCACTTATATAGAACTTTAATTTATAACAAAATCACCCCCACCCCTTGCTGCCACCGCAAACCATCGTCGGAAGTCTCCGAAAGCCACCGTGAGTAGCTCATTGTGACGACGAGGCTCTGATATGGTTGTTTCTAGCCATATTGATGGCTGAAAACGGCCATATCAGGCCAGATCGATGGATCTGGCCGTTAACGACCATGGACCTGGTCGTTAACGGCTAGATCTAACCCAGATCTGGCTTGATGTGGCCGTTTTCAGTCATATCGAAGCCTCCAGGAGCCTCCTAGCGAATCTTGGTCATTTTTAGGGACTCCGATGACTTTCCAACATCGGTTCGTGGTGGTTGGCCGGCTGTTAGTGATGGTGGCTGGGTGACGGTGGTGGTTTATAATTTTTTTTAAATATAAGGACTTTATTGTCCAAAAACTTAATTATGCAAGGGTAAAATTGAGAAGGTATATTAATGTAAATTTATTTTAAAACAGGGGCATTATTGTCCAAATTTTTTATTAATAAATGATAGAATTGTAACAAAAATAAGATTACCAAGGTAATCTTACAATACCTTACCTCTAATATTACCAATAATAACAACTATTGATAATGCAAGATTATCAGAATTTTATATTACTTGACAACCAAATATGGTAATCAAGTAATATAAGATGACATAACTCTAGTAATCTTCTATTATCTCCAACCAAACGCCCCAAAGGGATTTCATAATTAGATCAAACCTCAGGGGGGTTTAATATATGTGCATTTGGTTTATTATTTCATACCCTATTTCCAATCATATTCTCAAAATAACTGTTTGTTTTATTATTTAGGAAATACTATTACATTTTATTTAATTACTTTTAGATCTCTTAATTTTGTTAATTTAATTAAACACCCCCATAAAAAAGTTTAAAAATTAATAAAAACACTCCCACTCACCCATAGTTGCCAGATTCTAACTACCACCGACGGTGGTTGTCGGAATCTGTCACAACGGCGTACAAATGACCAGAACTGATCGATACTTCGCCGATCTGGCCGCCAGCGTCAATGACAGACATATCTTTGGCTGTTGGTGGCGGCCAGATCTGGCCTTTTGCAATCATCGATGGCTAGATCTGGCTATAGATCTGGCATTTTTTGGCCACATCGATGCACGACCGGCCAGATCTGATCGGTCTGCATCGTAACGCCACATTCTAATCAGATTCCGACGGTGGTGGTCGGAATCTGGCACTATAGGTGGGTGAGAGTGTTTTTATTATTTTACAAATTTTTTATATATTAGGGTGTTTAGTTAAATTAGCAAATCTAGGGTTTTTTATTAATTTTTAAATTTTACCTCGTAATAATCACCATACTCAACTATCCAATACTATCTCTAAAATACTATCCAAAAATCACTATTCTCAACTATGCAATACTATCTCCAAAATACATAAAAAAGAATTAAAGAACCAATCAAACGGACCAATTCCCAAAGAAAAAAGAAAAAAACTTTTTTGTTTTGAAATTGGATGTTATCGCGTAATTGGATTTTAAAACCCCTAGCCCCGCTCCTTCAATTAACAAGCACTCACCGTGCCGCTCGTATACCAATTACGAGCGTCGACGATCTCCATTAGCCTTCTCCTAGAAACCACCATTACAAGCAGAAGCACTTGCTTCGTTTCAGGTCTGTTTCTTATTTAATTACTCGGTGATTTTTTATTTTTTTTCTTGGTAAGCCCCTTTTCTTATTTCATTGGTTTGAGTGATTTTATTGTGGGTGTATTCGCGTAGTGTAAAATGGCTCTTTGTTAGTTTGATTAGTATAGGATTTTAAACTATACTGTTTAAGTCTCAAATAGTTAGGCCCTTTGCTGAACTGATATATATGAACTTGGTTCTAGGATTTGTGTTTGTGAGAAACCGAGAGAGGAGGAATGGGAAAAGACGAGGAAGAAATGAGAGGAGAGATAGAGGAAAGGCTGATAAATGAAGAATACAAGATCTGGAAGAAGAACACTCCCTTTTTGTATGATCTAGTGATCACCCACGCTCTTGAATGGCCTTCTCTTACTGTTGAGTGGCTGCCTGACAGAGAGGAGCCGCCTGACAAAGACTATTCTGTTCAGAAAATGATCCTAGGAACCCACACTTCCGAGAATGAGCCCAATTATCTTATGCTTGCCCAGGTCCAGCTTCCTCTTGATGATTCCGAGAATGATGCCCGCAACTATGATGATGACCGCTCTGATTTTGGTGGATTTGGATGCGCTAATGGCAAAGTTCAAATTATTCAGCAAATTAACCATGATGGAGAGGTTAATCGGGCCCGTTATATGCCTCAAAACCCATTTATTATTGCAACCAAGACTGTTAGTGCCGAGGTCTATGTCTTTGATTATAGCAAACACCCATCTAAGCCTCCTCTGGATGGTGCATGTAGTCCTGATTTAAGGCTCAGAGGCCACACCACTGAAGGTTACGGTTTATCTTGGAGCAAGTTCAAGCAGGGTCATTTGCTCAGTGGTTCTGATGATGCCCAAATATGTTTGTGGGATATTAATGCAACGCCTAAGAATAAAGCCCTTGAGGCTACACAGATTTTTAAGGTACTCTCTATATGTATAGTGAATTTGTCATTTTTGTACAATCAGAGTTGATGCAAGACCAAATGTAGTTGATATCTTGTAGCAAAAACCTAGATATAAGAATGAAAAACTTTATTTGAGCATTTCATAGTTCAATAAAGCTCCTGACACTCTGAAAACCAGATATATTATGTCTCTAATCAACTATAGACACTTTACTAAATGTGTTTCTGCTAGTATTGCATGGTGTTTTTGGATATTGACATCGTTTGTGCTAAAATAGGTTCATGAAGGGGTTGTCGAAGATGTAGCATGGCATCTGAGACATGAATACTTATTTGGTTCTGTTGGGGATGATCAATACCTTCTTATATGGGATCTACGGACACCATCAGTCAGCAAGCCCGTCCAATCTGTTGTTGCTCACCAGAGTGAGGTGGGTACCTGGATGCAAGTGCCTTAATTGTCATCAAGAGATACATGCACATGTACACTCATAACATAGACTTTAAAATGTTTCTGGTTTGACCAGACCAATGAATTAGATACTATCTGCACAGCTATTTTCATCTCAATGCTGTGTCTCCTTTTTTTTTTTAAGTTGTATTAATTAAATGATTAGTGATTGAATGGTATATACATTTTAGACTTAGATTGTCAGTTATTTAGCGTCTCCTACTAGAATGATCTACCCTTAGCCTTTTGAGTCCTTGGAAGAGCTTGGTTAAAGCTCTTCTGTAAGAATTAAAACTGTGACTTGGATCTATCAATCCGATTTTACTGTGTGATCTATGAAATAATATGTCTTTTCATGGTTTAAAATCCTGAAAGTTTGAGATATACCATGTAATAGGAATAAATGCTTCATTTCTTTTCAAAGAGGAAACAATAAATTATTTTTTTTTGCAGCATGTAGCACGGAATTGATTTTATGTATTTAATGTTGTATGCCTTTAGAGCCAAATCTTTGTTAAGTATTAATTACTCTCTTCTCTGCTATTATTTTGAAATAAGGTTTCATGTTATTTATGTATTTGACATGGTTATGATCTTGAAAACGTTTTGTTAGGTGAACTGCCTAGCTTTCAATCCATTTAATGAGTGGATTTTAGCAACAGGGTCTACAGATAAGACGGTTAAGTTATTTGATCTGCGCAAAATTAGTACTGCACTCCACACATTTGATAGTCACAAGTAAGAATTCTCCTGTGCATGATGATGTTTTGCTTTTTGGGACATTTCAATGAGTATTTCTTGGATCCTTAAATTCTTCTTCTTTCAAGTGAAAATCTTATTTCTTGTCTTAAAGCATATGCACTTTCAACCAAAAGAAATACGAAGTCTGATATTTTGATATTTTTTGGCTGCAATGTACACAACAGAGAAGAGGTTTTTCAAGTTGGGTGGAATCCAAAGAATGAGACTATCTTAGCTTCTTGTTGTCTGGGTAGAAGGCTTATGGTTTGGGACCTCAGCAGGTTTGATGATTCAATCTGTGATTTATGAGTAAACTTATTTCATTCTTTTACAGTGAAGCAATTTTTGAAGAAATCTATCTGTTAGTGGATCTAAGAGATTTAAATGATGGGAAATTGATTGTGCGCTCTTGTTAATTTTAATATTTTATCAAAATGAATGGGATTTTACTGTGTTGAATATAAATCCTTTTCAGTGTGCACCTCCTCTCTATCTGTTGAATGAGTGATACTGGCTGCTACTTTTGGACATTTGTAATTAGGTTATTGTTCCTGTTTTGCTGTATGTTGATTAATTTGGTGATTCTTATGCAGGATTGATGAGGAGCAGACACCAGAGGATGCAGAAGATGGTCCGCCAGAGTTGCTTTTCATTCATGGTGGTCACACGAGTAAAATTTCAGATTTCTCATGGAATCCATGTGAAGATTGGGTTATTGCCAGTGTTGCGGAGGATAACATTCTGCAAATTTGGCAGATGGCAGAGAACATTTACCATGATGAAGATGATTTACCTGGAGATGAACCCACAAAAGGGTCTTAATCTAGCGAAAGAGATTGTCATTTGTAGAAGAGTAGTTTTTCTTTTCTTTTCTTTTCTTTTTCTAATCCTATCTGTTTTTAGATATCTTTTATGACCTATTAATAGTGCTTATTTACAATAGTTAGAGCACTGATATTTTTATGGAAGAGAAACCGTGGCCGCAGAAATTGCTTGAGCATTTTATTTGGTTAATCTGGTTATCTGATTTGTGGCTGGTATTATTAATAAGAGTAAACGACATATTCCCACCCAAGGTTTGACAAAAACTCAAGTTAGTACCACTAGTTCCATTTATTTCAGATTCCCACCTTTAAAGTGACGGAAAAAAGTTTGATGTAATGGTAAAAGGGTAAATTGGTCATTTTACATGGGCGGCATACGTTAGCAGACCACCGTCCTTAACAGTCCTCTGGCGCACGTTAGCAGACGTCGTTCTCAGAGTTTTTCGCTCTTTTCCGGTAATTCTTCCACCCAAAATCACTCTTGTCACCACTATTTGAACCCCCATGCTCTCCTCTACAAAACCATACCATTCACAACCCCTCATCACTCGTTGATCTCCGGCCACGGCAACGAAAAACGGCCGATGAACACGAACTCTCGGCCGATGAATGACGACGAAACGGTTGCTGGGGACATAGGGGTTTTATAGATTTGGGGACGGTGGTTGCATTGGTGGTGTCCAATTGGATTTTCACCGTCGAAATCGACCGGAATCCGGTGAAGAACACCGAAACCCTAAGCCTAACGGTGTCGGCGATTGGAGGGGCAAATGAGTTGGGAATCAGAGGAGTTTTGGAAGACTGACTACGGGGAAGCTGATGGAGGTGACCAAGGGGTTCGACGTCGTCGGAAATAGACAAGATCAGGCTGTTTCCAACGAGGGTGTATAGTGACCGAGGGTGTTTTTGATATAATTTGAAAATAAAATGGTAAGTTCGTAATTCTACTAATTTAGGGGTTAAAACATAATTTATTAATTTAGGGTTAAGGACATTATGGTAATTGCATCCTCTAAACCTTAAAAATTCATAACACTGGTACTTTAAGAATGGAAATCTGGAATAAATGAAACCAGTGGTACTCACTTGGGATTTCGTCAAACCTTGGGTGGGAATATGTCATTTACTCTATTAATAATAATATGTTCGTAAACTTGATATAAAAACTTTTTTCAACAATTTGATGTCACATAATGCAAGAACGAAAACTAAAAAAAAACTTACAAATAGATGAATAATTGAAACAATAGTTTATAAAATATGTTCATTTGAATATTTTATATATGCAGTTTTACATTTACTAATAATAAAACACAAGTGAAATGAAATATAATTTTAAGTATTTTAGTATTATATGGTTGTTTTGTTTCCTAAATCTTGTTGTTATGGTATTTTTGAGCGTTCACTAGCACATAAATAAAGTTGGCCCAACATCCAAACAGGGCCTCTCGAAAAAATTGAAATTTGGCGCCTTCTAAAATCCCCTCTCCTTCCCTCCGTCTCTCTCAGAAGTCAGACCAGTAACAGAGAAGATCACCACGAACGCCGCAAGGAAGCAATTAAGGCGGAGAAAATGGTGTTACTACGGCAGCAAAAGTCTTCACTCAAAAGAGAAAGAGAAAGAGAACCGTCTTCCTCTTTCAGAAGTCCATTTCCGTCTTCTAAAGTTCCCAAATCCCTAGATTTAGAAATAGAAAAGATGGTTTCTATTCTGGCGGATGCTGGTTGTACCTTAATCAACCACTCCGCTCCTCCTTCTCTCCCTTCTGATCCCAACCACCTCCAACGCCACCTCACCCATCTCTTCTCTGGTGACCCTTCCCTTTCTTCTCATTTCCTTGCTGGTTTCTCTACTTATATTCAGTCTCCCAATAATTTAACCAGGTCAGCTCAATAAGTGTTTTCCCTATTTTTATTTTTACATGCTTATCAATGAATTATTCTATCCTAATAATATTAGATAATTCCGCTTTGGCGGCTTTGTTTTTCAGGGTTTTAAACTCTTTAAATCCTGGCAGAAAAAACAGCTTAGTCCGACATCTCTTGTTGGTCCCCTCTATTCAATTAGACCTTATGAACATGCTTCTCGAGAAACTTCCAGAATTCTTTGACATAAATCCAGAGGCTTCGTTGTCTCTTCAAGATGATGTTGGTAGGCTTATTATCAATCAATTTCGGTGGCTTGATTTTCTTGTGGATCCTCAAGCCTTTACTGATAAGTTGATGCAACTACTTTGCATTTGTCCTTTACATTTAAAGAAAGAAATCATTGGATCATTGCCTGAGATTATTGGTGATCAGTCAAATAATAAGACTGTGGTAGACTCCCTACACCAGATACTTAGAGAAGATTCAGCTATCATTGTGCCTGTGCTTGACTGTTTTTCCAACCTTAATTTGGATGGTCAGTTGCAAGAACAAGTCATCACCATAGCATTATCATGCATTAGAACCATTGATGCACAACACATGCCATATCTACTTAGATTTTTACTCCTTTCTGCGACACAAGCAAATGTTCGAATGATAATCTGTCACATCCGACAGCATTTAAAATTTGTTGGGGAGTCAAATTTTCGTGCAACGCAACAATATAAACTAAAGGGAAAGTCTCCTGTTGATCATTCAGAGGCATCTATTCTTGATGCCTTGAGATCAAGTCTTCGATTTAAGAATGTAAATTTGTTATTCTTCAGCTCTTTTTTTTTTTTTTTTGGAGGAATGTGTACCCTCATTGAATACGGCCTTTGTGATTTTGCTCCCTCTTTCTTAAGATGCTTTGTCAGGAGATTTTAAAAGAATTGAATGGCCTCCAGAAGCCGCAGGATCACAAAGTCATAGACATATGGCTTCTTGTGCTTATGTATACAAATGGCGATATAGCCCTGCAAAGGAGCATTTTAAAGCTTTTCAAGAAGAAAATTATTGAAGATTGCATTCAGGAAGTTATGCTTGATCAGTGCATTCGTGGGAACAAAGAACTGGTCCAGGTATCTGAGGAAGGAGTAGTTCAATTTAAGATATACTGTTTCCTCAACTTTAGTGAAGTTATATTCTCTGTTTTCCATTATTTTTATCAGGATTATTTTCCGTCCTTTCTATCTTTCTCCGAGTACTTATTGGGATGCAAAGAACAAAAGACGAGGGAATTTGGCATTTACATGTACACCAGCCTTTTTGAAGAGTTTACTGATACTTATTCAAGACAGGAAGTAAGCAACAGGAATAGTTATTTCTGATCTCTGTAATTAAGATATAACCTCATATATGTGACTTGTGTTTTATGCAGGTTCTCGGTGCACTAATTACGCATGTGGGATCTGGTGTTAGTTTTGAAGTGAGTTCTGCTTTAGAGACCATGGCTCTGCTGGCCTCCAAATATGCACCAGAACTGATTCCACTGTCTTCTCATATTAATGGTATCTCATTCACTTGCTTCATTAACATTTGTTTTCTAAGTCCACTTGACATGTATGTTCTGCCATTCAGGGATTTTGGATTACTTGGAGGGTTTTAGTATTGCAAATTTGCACAAGGTGTGGTAATGTTCTTGAGACTTTTATTTTCAGTAGGCATTATAAGTTTATTATTGTTTGTTTCATTTACTAGTGTTTGCCATATTGTAGGTCTATGAGGTTTTCAGCCATTTGGCACTGTCTGGTCAATCTAGTGCAGGTTGTCTTGGATCTTCTATTGCAAATGAACTTCTGATGATAGTGCGGAAGCAGGTATCGTATGAATGTTCAGTGTCTTTATGATGTATGGATTTTGAAAAGTGACTTTACGCAACTTTTGTTTTGTGTTCATTTTATTAGAGTTGTGTTTATCTTACAAAGCGGTTTTGGTGAGGAAAAGTTCATTTCATTCATGCAACCCTCCTTCCTATTGGGCAGGTCAGCCATACAGAACTGAAGTACAAAAAGATGGGCCTGATAGGAACTCTGAAGATAGTTTCTTGTCTTGGTGATGCTAGTAATGTTACTGGAACATCTCCATTTCAGGTACGACCCAATTTTAATGCAATTGCAAATTTTTTCCAACTAGTTGGCGGTGAAACCGTTGATATGGTCATGATCTTGTTTATACTTAGTTTTGAAGACAGTTTGATTGGCTTCTCTATATTAGCTGAAATATTAAGTAGAGCTGTACCAGTCCACACACACGTGTAATGATGATGACATTGAATTTTAAGGGCTTAAGAGAAGCTAAAGAAAGAGGAGGATACAGTTGGAACATCCAAAATAAAACACACAAACAAGTGACTGATGATGATGATGATCTTGAACTTTAAAGAGTTTAGACAAACAAAACAAAGAGCACAATACAGTTGGAATATTCAGAAGTTTTCTTTATTTCTTGTGGTCTAATCTGCCAAGATATTGTGGGCATAACATTCAAGATTGGATGACTGAGAAATAAGGAAATATAGTTTTTAGTGGAGCTACTCATAATCTGAGCTTACCGTTTGAAAGCCTTGAGAGATAAGACGACAAAGAGCAATCACAATATAGAATTACATGAGGCATAACGATATCTTTTCAATCCAACTATCAGGTTGCCGTTTCTTTAAATTTCTTAATTATTGGAAGTGAAATTATAAAATCATTTAGGAAAGGTAACGTGTATTTGTTGCTAAATATATTGAGCCTAACTAAACTTAGCGGCAAAATATTCAAACTTGGCCAAGAATAATTATGACCTCAAAATTATATTTCCCCTTGCCATGTTCAACATTCAAGGAAGTTTAGATGATTTTCTGATGAGTCAATCACATGCTGGACTTGAGCGGCTCTAATAATTTTCACTGCTCTTTACAACTAACAAAAATGAAAGTTGGTAGCAACGAGGGATTCTTAAACTTCAGAATCTCTCTAACTGAATACTGTATCTCATGGTATTGGCTCAAAGAATACATACATACACACACACACACACACACACACACACACACACACACACACACAGAGTAGAAGTTGCAACAGAAACTCAATGCTTTGGTTTAAGAGGTATTTGGAAAGGAGTTTAGGTACTGATGTGCTTTTCTTGTGGGCTATATCTGAGGTGTTCCAGTTCCTATCTTCTTACTTATTGCTCAATTATTCTCTATTCTCTGGTTTTGTTGCAATCATGTAAAAATGTACAGAAAGATGACAAAAGGCAATTCTTCACTGTTGCCTTTAAAGGAATCTAGAGACTGGCATGCTTTTCATGTGTGCTAAATTTGAATTGTAATACGGACTATATTCTGTCACTGTTGATCAGTGGTGAAATTTTTTACTAGCTGATGCTGAGTTCTATTTCTCATGTGCGGTTATGTTTTTTTGAATGATATAATATGAATTAACAACGCCCTGTCCTTCCAGGAAGAAGTTTTATCTTACTAATGATTTTCCAATGGTTCAGGAACAGATTCATTATAATCTTTCGTTATTGAAGTTTTATCATATTTTAGTCAATGATTTTGTGTTTTAAGATGTGCATTCACCATTACTGAGCTGAGTGTCTTTGCTCACAGAAATCAAATGCTGAAGAGGCTTTGGAACTCTTAAAAACATCTCTGAATTCGTGCAAACAGATGTACTTGCCTTTGATTCTCTTTTATGATGAATTGACTACGGTATTGAACTGCAGAACACTTCAGCCAGAAATCATAGAATGGTGAGTTGATTTCAATAAACTGTCCCTACCTAAAAAAAAAACATTTCAATAAACTGTCACCAAGAGTTGATTATGTTTTATAAGCAATAAACTTGCCTGGTTTTTGCAGGATTGCAAAACATGTTGGAGAATTTGAATATATGTTTCTGTCTGATCTTGAAGGTGGGCAACTGCCTATTAAGGACTCATATTGTGGTTTAGAAGGTGAGGTTAGTTACGGAGTCTGTGATTTTGCTTTTTGATAACCTCTGCCCTGAAAGTTATGAGAAATCTTCTTATTCTTCTTATTTATTTATTTTCACTGAAAAGTTATGAGAAATCAATTCGCCTATAGTTTTCAAACTGCTTCTTTGTAGGGGAGCTATGGATGAACCTGGATGGAGATATATCTCCTATTTGTTTGAACATTTTGCCTTTGGTTTCGTCTTCTTTGCAGTAAGTTTTGCCATGCCGTCCTTCATATCACAGTGCATGTTTAATACTTCTCTCAGTGTTTCTGAATGCTGAAGTTGAAACCTTGTTGTCTACAGGTCTGACTCTTTACAAATTCTTCCTGCAAAGTTCCTTTTACTCTCTGCTGTAAGTGCATTGTCCTTTGGCACTGAGATGGATTAAAAGTGATGGATAAATTGGAGTTTACTATCTGTGTCAGGTTGAGAGGTTAACAAATCAAGGATCTCTTGGAGGAATTGATGCATTACTTGGCTGCCCTTTACACCTTCCTTCCTCTAAGGTAAGGCCAAGTAAAACACTATCACTAACATCACAAATTTTTATCAGCATACTTTTAAGAATTGCGCTAGCTATATTTTCTACCTATTACACTTACTGATGGGAACTCAAACATAACAATCAAAATACAATTCAACAACACTCAACACAACCAATAAGCAATAGGAAATCTGTATATATTGATATGAAGATAGTAGAAAAAACAGAGCACAATGATAACAGAAAAATAAAAGGGGCACTAGCAATTCGAGGAGCTAGTAGCCTTCCAACAATGATCCAAAATATTTGATACCTTCCACATGCTTTTTCCCTCTCTTATATACAAGAATGAAGTCACGCCCAAATTCCCCTTTTCTGAATCCACGTGGAATATTCCACAACTAACTAACTCTCTTGTCAATTACCTGTATTGCCCCTTCCTCTCTTCTTCTTGTAAATCTTAGTTATAGGAGGTTTATCACTTACTAACCTTTAAAAGATTTATGATATTGTTTTGTTGTACTTGGTTTGGCCTTATATATTTATCTAGCTCGTCAATAATACTGTACTTGGCCACTTTGCTAACATTTGTTTGGTTCGCCAATGTCAGTATTTCTCTGCAGCTGGTTGGCAGTCTCTGACAGAGAAGCAGAAACAGATTGTGAGCCTCTCGCTTTATTATGCAGCAAACTGGATACGAGAACTGGTAAATACTGTATTTTGACATTATTATCATTATGGTTGGCAGTCATGTATGCTGTGGTCTGTAATCCTTTTACTGCTGCATGTAGCTTAATGCCTTCTGTACACAAGTTGCTGAAAGACTGGAATTAGTGAGTCAGGCTACAAAGCAGGATATAATTGCGAAGCTGTTAAAGCGACTGAGGAATCTTGTGTATGTTTGCACTCTCAATTCCTCATTTAGCTTAGTCACATTTGCTTATGATATCACATGTTCCCTTCCACAATTTTTTTCTTGACCTTCTACCTAATCCCAGAAATTGGAGGGTTGACAATGCATAGTAGAAGACTATAAGATTTTGATTATCATCACAATGATGAAGTACAAATTTGACTGAGCAACAGAATTTTTGCTAGTTATAACTGTCACCTCTGTTAGAGATCTTTTAAAAACTTTTCATTTCATGATGGGAAGAATCTGATCATGCAGATTTCTTGAAAGCTTGTTAAACTATTCCATCAAATGCTGCCCTCAATCTCTACCTGAGCTTCATCTTCTTCTGGACCAATGTGGATCCTTACTCCTGCATCAACCTAGTAAAATGGGACAAGTGACAAAAAAGAATGAAAACAAGAAAATACATGACAGCATCCCTCCAGACAAGAAAAGGAAGCATAAAAAGATCTCAAAGTCATCAACAAGTTCAGATATAAACGAAAAATTGCAGCAACCAACAATATTGGATGTTTTGAGAAAAGCAGGAAGTCTTACAAGCCAAGAGGTGACAAATGAGGATTGTTCTAGTACATTTTCTAAAAGCAGGAAAGCTGAGGCACCTGATCAAACTTCCTCTGATTGTAATGAGGCAGTAATTATAGAAGTTTCTACAATTGCCAAGGATCTGGAAACACAAAGATATAAGTTCAGGCCTCTTCAGTTGCAATGCCTGTCCTTTTTGACATTTTCAAAGGTTTGAATGCTTGCACTGCAGTTGCTTTAAGCAAGTGATACAATTTGTGCTCTGTAGTTTTGTGGACCATCTGCAGCGAATTTATCTTTTTAGCTACCTACAGTTCACAACATAAAACTTCTAGGGACACTCCTTTTAATTTTATCTGATTGAAAAATGATGGTTATTTCTTGATTCTTTCCTTTTTTATGCAGAACCAAGACTCTTGTTGCTCTGATCCTGCAGTTGAGGTACAAAGTTAATTGCACTGAAGATTTGTTGATGGGATTTTTTTAATAAACAAATGAAGTTGTCAATCAAAATTATAAAAGAAAAAAAACCTTGCTTTCCATGCTAGTTACCCCTGTATCTGTACCTTTTGCGGGATTTCCACTACAAGCTGGATTACTTCACTCCTCCAAGCAAACAATTGTCACTCAGATGCTGGAGTGTTTCTGCTGGTTTTACCAGGATGACAACTGAAGAACTCTTGAGCAAAGTCAAACCTGTATTTCCAAGTCTTAAGAGGCAATTTGAGAATGCAGTTTGCATTCTTAAAGGTATGACTAACATTTAGCTTCATTCAATAAACACTTACGAGTGCTTTTATGGTCTTGTAATCATAAAACAAATATGTTGTAGGTGGTGAAACTTGTCAAGATCATTGGAAAGTGGAATCTGCTATTTCTGGGAATCCTGATATACACAATATTATGTTTTCAAATTCTTCCATTTCCACATTGGTCATTAAAGAAGTACTTAGTTGTTTCAGTAAGGTGAAATTTGGCAGTCTCTTAGACTTGTTCTCTTTTGCACCCCCAGCAATCGATGTCTTATGTTACCAATCACGTATATTCACGTTTTATTATTTCACCTTGACATTTTCATACTACTTCCTGATCACAGGCTTTTAACCCCTTTTCTGTGAAATTTTTAAAATTTCTTTTTAATATCTGAGTACAGATGCTAAACCTTCCTGACATGCAAATGAACAAACCAGTGCTCTCGGATCTGCTACAATCATTCCAGCCGGTCAAAATACCGGATGCTATAATTTCAGGCTTACAACCTTCCCCTTTGCCTGGGAAAATAGAGTATTTATATCTCGGTGTCTTTTCATTTCTAGAAGATGTCCTGAATATAGGTATGCTATTTTTCTTTATTTCCAGATTTTCTTTTTTGCTCCCAAATTGTTCAGCGTACTTCGTTTGTAATTACACCTGCTTCCTGCAGCATGTTCTTTCTCCTTTATGGTGGCCTCGGAATCTCTTCTTACTTTAGAATCTGTTGTAATATCCCTTCAAGGGTTCCTTGATAAGTTGGGAGAAAATAGTACAATTACACACTCGGGATTTATCCAGGGTACACTTCATTCCTTGCTTACTAGACTTGGAATTTCTGCTCAGAAGCTATTAAAGCATAACTGGGATGATGAAAGTCTTGAGAATGGTTGGAAGAACAAAGTAAGACCATCTAAACAATGATTTATTGCCTCTTGGTATTATGAATGTAACATTTGAAACTTAATTTCACAAAATATGTATGCATGCATATTGATAATATTTGTGATATTTGCAGGGAGAAATAGTACAGAAGATTCTATGGATTTATTTGGAGCACAGCGAGTCCACTACCGATTTGCTGGATGAGCTTGCATGCACCATCTTGCCTCAGGTGCATGAATTTATTTAGCTGTAAATTTGACATCAAAATCAATTACGACTTTCTCGTCACTTTTCCTGCCTCTTTAGACTGGGAAATTGGTTATCTGAAAGATGACTTAAGATGGTGGTATTTTGTCCTGCAATGAGCAATTAAGAGTGTAGTTTTGAGTAATCAATCAAAACAATAATACTGACTTGTATCATGCACATTGTGAGATTTTATGCATAATCTCATTCCATGAAGGCAAAAACCTGTTTTTCTTGTTTTGCTAGCTGGGTCTAACATGGAGTCCCTTTCTTTGTAGGTTACTTTGTGGAAAACAAAGGCAGAAGAAGGTGATCAACATGGTTTTCCTGCTCTATGTCCTGCCACATTTGTTGCATGGTACCGGGTACTTGTAAGTCATCTTCGTTCTCGACCTCTTTAAACTAATGTAACTTTTTCAGTGCAAGTACTTATGGAGATTGGTAATTTGCAGCATGAAGTGAACCTTTCTATTCTCAACAAACTGGTAAGCCGTAGATTCTATTCAATTTTTCAAAGATCATAATGAGCTGTGAAAATCATCTTTCACAGAATTATACTACATATTTTTTCCTCCATGATGATTAGGTGAAGGAAGCTGTTCACTTGGAAAAACGGAAGGCTGGTTTTCAACCCGAAATTGTTCAAACACATTTAACCAAAACACACAAATGTGTGAACGTGGTGGTGTCATTAGTTAACATGTGTCGGACTCATGACAAGGTAACCTAATAGAAGTGCAGGATTCTCTTTATCGTCATTTTTTTCTCTTAGCTCAGTGGTTATACAAGATTTTGACTCAATCAAATATTGTCATAGGTGACTGTGCATGCCATGGCTGTCAAGTACGGTGGGAATTTTGTTGATACCTTCCTGAAAGGTATATGCTCGGCAAGTTTAGTCTACTGTAAACTATGAGTTCTGGTTTATTGGGATGCTGAAATTATCATATTATGCAGCTTTTGACTTCTTACAAGTTCACTTTCAAACACACAATGAAATTGTAATCCAATTGGTAAGATCTGCGCCAAATTTCTTCTACAGTGCTTGATTGGAAGTAAACATCGTCAAGTTTGGAACTAAATTACGAACAATCCTTTTTGTGATATGCTAGGTGAAAGAACTTCAAAAGGCCACAAGAACAATACAGATTCTATGTTCTGAAGCAAAGGTTTGCTTTCGACATTTAAATCTATTCTGCCACAAATATGCGACTAAACTGAAATTGGGCTTTAATTTAATCTGTTTTCTCTCTCGGCTTGAAGGGATTGAAACAAACAGTCATAACTAGCAAAATTCCTTCTACAAAGAGGTCAATGGAACGTTTTCTGTTTCGTGTCAAGGCGCTTCTCCATACATCATCTAGTGGATGCACCTTCTGGATGGGTACGTGATTTTTTACTAAGTTTTTAGAGTGAGAATTCCTGTTTCTTGACTCTGGCAGAAAAGTTCAATAAATTTTCCGGACTTCCCTCGTATGAGCACATAAACAGCTTTACGGCATAGAGTAGGTGATAGACCATATATATAATACTCATCCTATTCCTATCCTGACGCCAATTACATTTCTTACCTCACTTTACAAAAATTCATATTGAAATTTTTGCATTGAAGTGTGAAAATTTGTCTTCTACAGTTCTCTACCACTAGCTAATAGAGGTCCGAGAAAATGTGGAACTCCCCAGCTCAGAATATATATATATATATATAAGTTGGTTCAAGAGTTCCACATTTTTAACACAAGTTTTTGCATAATTTATCCATTGGGAACCATTGATTGCTAGCTTAGAGTTCTTATTAACTCTGATATAGTCTTTCAACTTTTCCATTATAAGCAAAAATTTAAAATCCTGTATTCCAAAATTCAGCTTCTTAATCAATTTTTATCTTGTGCTTTCCCATTAATATTTACATACGTATTCATCTTCTCCTATGCCAATCACATTTTTTTTTTTAAAAATGTGGACCTGTTTATCTAATGGTTGTAATTGGTTTGTTACCGCTATATTATAAACAATAGAAATTCTGGCATTAGAAAGAGTGAAAATTTGTCTTTAATCATCTACTACCTCTAGCTAATAGAGGTCCGCAACAATTCGAACTATTTGTGATTGGACCCAATATGTAGAGTTCGTATTCCTTGTCTCTGGTAGAGAAAAATAGTTAAAAGAATGGTTGGATGTTTCTTGGAGTAGAGAAGTACTACCATCTTGAATTCTCTTTTGATTATAGTTAAAAAAAAATCCGCCTGTGCCTGGGTATATAGGCCTGTCACCTCTGTCTAAACCATCTTTCCAAATAGATGAGTAGTTGGTCGCAATAGCAACTTCATGTCACTGCTTATGGTTTTGCTCTGTTCTATAGTATTAATGCCTTATCATTTGAAGTTTAGGGTTCTGTCCAACTTCGTAATCATCTAATCTCTATTTTGACAGGCAATCTAAAACACAAAGATTTGATGGGTCAGGTTGTGAGCTCACAGGCATATGTAGATGATCCAAACACCAATTTTGATGAGGATCAAACCGAAGCTGTTGATGAGGATCAACCTGTTAGTCCGGCAAGTGCGGACAGACAAACAGAATAAATAGTTTCTTGTGCATAGAAATCTTCAGTTTTCTTTACTTATGCCTAAATAGTTTCTTGTGTGTGCGTAGAAATCTTTCAGTTTTCTTTACATAGATTGGTATCTGTCATATTATTTTGAGTACAGAATTGGCCTACTCATTTTTGTTTTATGTGGTTTGGTTGAGGAATGCACTAATTAAACTTTAGTCTTGAGTTGAACCAAATAAAATCTTATTTATACGTAGTTATCACTTATCAATTGAAGTACAAATTAAGCAAATTATCATGGACATTGTGACTATGGTATTAGGAAAGATATGCATATAATTTGTTTTCAGAGACTTTTTAAAGTATTCTTCGCCCGCTCTCTACCAATGAAGAGCCCTACTCTTGATTTATTGCCTGATAACTTTGAAGCTTAAGGATGCCTGCACAAGAATAAGGAGGCTAAATCAACTTCAACGGAAATACAACTTGATATAAACCTGTTACAGTGAACAGGAGAGAAATCAATTTGGCATTCTTTATAAATGTTGATATTTGATTTTGATATCAATAATTTGCATGTATAAAGTGTTAAGTTGTTCTTAGAAATTACACGTGAATGATTATGATAATCGAATGTAAAGACTAAAGAGAAATATTAGTTTTACAAAAAGAAATATAAAGAGAGGTATACAAAGACAAATTTTGCCCTTAAAAGAAGGGAAAGAGAGAGAGAGAGAGAGAGAGAGAGAGAGAGAGAATCATGAAGATTAAAGGCAGGATTTGTCATTGTATGCCCCTTTTTGTATTTCTCTTTGTAAGGCTAGCATTTCTCAAGACTAACTAATAAATGAGAGGTGGTTTTTAAAGTGGTTCGGATGCTTAAAGAGAATCTTACATCCATTGTTATTTTATTACTTTCTAACTCTTTTTCTGATATTGTCTGTAAGTCATACAAAAATAGAAAAATGCTTTGTTTACAGAGAAAAAATAATAAAGCTCAAATGTTTGTTTAGCTTGCTCAAATATATGCCTAGCTCTCATATGCTCAACTCTCTTTTTCATAAAGAGAGGTGTTCATTTATACCTTTGACGTCAATGTAATGAATGCTTTTGCAAGTTATCTTGACACGTGAGAACTATTCCTTAATCGTTATCTTAAAATAGGATAAGATTGATATAAAATATTTCTTAGAAGCGGTTTGAATTTTTGACAGTTAATACCAACTTATCTTTAAGTATTTGTTAAACTCTGATTAGTGGTGCTGACACTATAGAGTATTTTTGGCACATCAGGAAAGATCTGAAATAGCGGATTCCTTGATGTTTTGGAAGTAAGTAGCTTCTTTCAAACATTTACATCCCAGAAAGTGATCTTCTGCTNTTTCCGGACTTCCCTCGTATGAGCACATAAACAGCTTCACGGCATAGAGTAGGTGATAGACCATATATATATATTGTTGAGTTAATCTGTAATCCTAACACTTCAAAATCATCCACCAATCTCACACATAACACACACAAACAAAGAATGTAAAGAAATCAAGAACAAAGACACACAAATTTTTACCGTGGTTCGTTTATCCTATATAGGATAAACTACATTCACGTTGAGCTCAAGAAACTCAGGAGCTCGTTGCACTAAAGATTAATACAACATGATACAAACAGATTTTGCACTCAAACCCACTCTCAAATAGCGTATCTCACTCTCACAACAACTTGAAATCTTTCCTATGAGAACTCTAAATCAAATCCTCAAGACTCAAGGGAAACGCAACCCGTACAAGTGATTCAACCAACCACACAAAGATTCCAGCCAAGAAAAGAAACGGAACAGAGCAGATGTTCTTTACACAAAATACGCAAAACTGAAAAATAAAACCCAGCAGCAGCCTAAAACGCAGCAGCAAGGTAAAGTCGTTTTTTGCATTCTGTTTTGGGTAGAATAAGTCTTGGCCGTTAGATGCTTTTCTCTTTAATGGTCTGGATTCAGTCTCTTTTAAAACAAGGATAAAACGGTTGCGTTGCACTAAAGATACAACGGCAGCGTTTTTGTGTGCTTCATTCTAACATTCTCCACCTTGAAGCTCCAAAAACACAAACACACCAAACAGCTTAGTCTAATTCTCTCTAGTGCAGCTACCTCCCAAGAATCCTTCTCAGCTCTGTTATTTGCTGCTTATTTTATAAACAGCAGGTTCAAACAGTGTTTGAACTTTGTGACAGTTACTACCTTTGTGCCCATGTCAGCTGGATTGTCCTCAGTTGATATCTTCTTCAAGTCTATGATTCCTTTAGCCACTAAATCCCTCACGAAATGATATCTAACATCCATGTGCTTTGTCCTTTCGTGGTAAACTAGATTTCTACTCAGGTGAAGTGCACTCTAATTGTCCGAAAACACTACTGTCTTCTCATCAATCAGCTCCACCTCAGATAGAATCCCCTTAAGCCATAATCCTTCTTTGAATACATTTGCTACAGCAATGTATTCTGCCTCGGTGGAGGAGAGGGCAACAATAGGTTGAAGCTAGGACTTCCAGCTTATGCAATTTCCTCCCAATGTGAAGTAGTATGAGGTAGTAGACTTCCTTGTGTCCCTATCTCCTGCAAAATCAGAGTCTACATATCCCATAAGATCAAGTGAGTTTCCTCTTTTCTTATATTCCAGCCCAACATATATTGTACTATTAATATATTTTAGTAACCATTTCAATGCTAACCAGTGTTCTACATCTGGATTGGACATAAAACGACTAAGAAGTGAAATTGAATAAGATAGGTCAGGTCTGGTGCTAATCATGGCGTACGTGATTGATCCTATCACATTGGCATAAGGAATTTTTTCCATCTTAATGAATTCAGATTCAGTCTTGGGACTTTGAGTCTTACTAAGTGTAAAATGGCTAGCTAAAGGCATGGATATTGGCTTGGAATCTGACATTCCAAATCTGGATACCAGTTTCAGTAAGTAGGAGGATTGTTGAAGTTTTAGTTCACAGTCCTCTCTTTTCCTGTCAATAACTATTCCTAGGATCTTTTTAGCACTACCTAAGTTCTTCATGTCAAATTCCGTAAGGAAATATGTCACTCCTCTCCGCCTAGATGGTGTTCATCTGGCAAACAAACGTAACAACAGCATGTTTTTGAGTCCCAGGCCACTGGTGGGTACAGTCTCATGGATTCACAAAGGCGTAGCCTTCAACAATTTAATTCTTTCAGTGTTCGTAATCCAATGTTTCCCTTGCTGAATTTTGTCTCTTAACAGCTCTTGCTCATTTTGAGGGTGCAGGAAATCATCCAGCATAGCCATGTCATTTCTGCTGAGTTTATCTTGACCGCCATAATCAGTGTGTTTGTCAATCGTGTATCGATCGTCTAATTGTTTAATCTATATCAAGTATCGTATTAATAGTAAGATAGTCTTTTTCAAAAGAATAATAAAATAATAAAAATTTCTAAAATTTATATCATCCCAAAGATTATTAAAGAATTTTGTGGTAATATTGATTTTAAAATTATGTATTACGTAATCAAAATTAATCACAAAATTAAGAATCTAATTATTTCCTTTCAACATTCATATCATTTCCAAGATAAATGTCAATTTTTATCTCCTTATATTATTATTATTTTGTAAACATGGGCAACACATGTTTCTTTTCACTTTCTCCATGCAAAATGGGTAAATTTAGTCTGTTTTAGTAAAAGGGTTGGGTGATATGAATCGACCCGAATTTTTTTTAGAGCTTTGACCCAATTAAAAAGTCGTATCAATTTTTTGAATAATACAAATAAATACATATTATATTGTAAGATACATATCAATATATTAAAATATTTATGATACATTTTTTGATACGTATCATTAGTGATCTGCTCGATCATATAAAATAATATATCACGTATGTAAAATATGTATGACTATCCTATGATAATAACTATGATAACGAGGCTTATCTTCATATCTCTTATCGCCTCATCTTCCCCACCCTGATATCAATCGAGAGAAAAGAGATCTGACAACAAGCTTTTCGTTTTCCATGAATTGTCTTCTCTATTTTGCGTAAATACAATTTTGCCCTTGATCCTTGTTTAGTTTAACAGACACTTTAGTAAAGACTAAAGCAGTTTGAAACATAAAGGATTTATATTAGATCAAACCTCAGGGGGGTTTAATATTCACAATTCCCAAAGAAACAAAGAAAAAACAATTTTGTTTTGAAATTAGATGTTATCGCGTAATGGATTTTAAAACCCTAGCCCCGCTCCTTCAATAACAGCACTCACCGTGCCCTCGTATACCAATTACGAGCGTCGACGATCTCATTAGCCTTCTTCTAGAAACCACCATTACAAGCAGAAGCACTGCTCGCTCAGGTCTGTTTATTTATTTAATTACTCGGTGATTTTTTATTTTTTTCTGTAAGCCCTTTCTTATTCATTGGTTTGAGTGATTTTTATGTGGGTGTATTCGCGTAGTGTAAATGGCTCTTTGTTAGTTTGATTAGTATAGGATTTAAGCTATACTGTTTAAGTCTCAAGTAGTTAGGCCCTTTGCTGAACTGATATATATGAAATTGGTTCTAGGATTTGTGTTTGTGAGAAAACCGCGAGAGGAGGAATGGGAAAGACGAGGAAGAAATGAGAGGAGAGATAGAGGAAGGCTGATAAATGAGAATACAAGATCGGAAGAGAAACACTCCCTTTTGTATGACCTAGTGATCACCCACGCTCTTGAATGGCCTTCTCTTACTGTTGAGTGGCTGCCTGACAGGAGGAGCCGCCTGACAAAGACTATTCTCTGTCAGAAATGATCCTAGGAACCCCACTCCGAGAATGAGCCCAATTATCTTATGCTTGCCCAGGTCCAGCTTCCTCTTGATGATTCCGAGAATGATGCCCGCCAATATGATGATGACCGCTCTGATTTTGGTGGATTTGGATGCGCTAATGGCAAAGTTCAAATTATTCAGCAAATTACCCATGATGGAGAGGTAATCGGCCCGTTATATGCCTCAAAACCCATTTATTATTGCAACAAGACTGTCAGTGCGAGGTCTATGTCTTTGATTATAGCACAACACCCATCA